AACCTCCTCACCACGAATGATGAGTGTGCCATCACTCAGCTGCCTCACGTTCGTCTTCCTGGACTTTATTCCCTACATCAGGTGGTTGATGCGTCCTGCAGCTTCGGGCGAGAAGGGCGTGAAGTTCGGTGGTGGTGGAGACTGCCCTGGTGTTGTACGTGCAGAGGATGAGGTAATCTCCATGGCGAGTTGCTAACGGGTCCTTTTGGTTCGAAGTCCATGGCGTCCTGTGCAACCGACGTTGGACTCTTTTCCTATTACACGCTGTACGAGCATTAAAATAAATCCCCAAATATCAGCAGCCTGCTAGGGCTTGCCAAGCTTTCGCCACAGGCAATCGCTGAACTATTGGATCAGGGAACTACTAGAGACTTGATCAGCCAGACGGTGGGACTTCTAGCATAGCCACTTCTTAGCTGAGCATCCGGAGAGCCAGAAGCGTCGAGCATGATCTTTGTTTGGGAGACTCTGCTATGATTTGGCTGTACCTCGAAGTTCGACACCCAGGCTCACCCTCGCACCACGATGAGCGGTAGACCATCACGTACTGAGAGCAATATGCGATGGCATTTGTTTTTGGATGGACCATGCGAGAATTCTAATATATATCGCTATAAGAAGGCCTCTCTGTTGAAAAGCAATGTCATAAAATAGGGAGCATTCTGCGGGAAACGTAATCTTTTCATGAGATATTGTTTCATCTCTTATTGCTGGATAATCACGCACACCCTGTTAGATAGTGAAACACTTTTCATAGTGAAATCAAAGACTAAATTTTTTTTTGGAAATTACACCAAGATTGTTCTGGATTTTGCACTTTCAATACCTTCTTTCACTATCTTCCTTTTATGATTCTGTGTGTACAGTTTTGCTCTACATTCAATTAGAAAACGAGTTTTTGACGTAATGAGGAAGAGATGATTTGATCAAGTAAAGATGAACAAAACAGAATGCATGCGGGCATATAAGGGCAAGACATTGGTATTAATTGCTTTGTTAACTGGCCTGTGCACT